AAAAAAATTAACGGTTTTGTCGCGTTGCGTACGACACCCCGTCGATAGGTTCAAAAATTGTCGAGTGCTGAGAGACATAACAGAGACGTTGGGATTGTAAAAAAAACACAATATATTTAAAATCTGTATATAAACATGTCAATGAAAAAAAATACTAGAGATTACTGAAACATAACATTTGCCTATTAATATCTGTTTTCGAAGACAGAAAAATAAAATGATTTGTGTGTGGTATTGAGTCAAGTGTACGAAATTTGATTTTTACGAAGAAAACGCAATATATTTTGCTGGGCGATGTGTTTAAAATCTTTTGAACTAGACTATCAAAACAAAATACTTGAAACAACTCAAAAACTGTTTGACGATTTATATATGACTTTACAATACGAATATTTGACGACATCAGTATTGGGTCAAGTGTACGAAATTTGAGTTTTACGAAGAAAACGCGATATATTTTGCTGGGCAATGTGTTTAAAATCTTTCAAACTGGAATGTCCAAAACAGAATACTTGAAACGACACAAAACTTGTTTGACGATTTATATATGACTTTACAGAAATTTAAATTGATATGAATATTTGACCGAGTTTTTTTTTATATATCCAGGCGGAACAAAATGGAACGAACGCAACAATTAAATAAAATCCGATTTAAATTCGATAATTTTATATACTCTTTAGAACTAATCTTAACAAATATTAGGTAATAATTATAAGAGACATATAGAAACAGACCGTCTCCAAAACAATAGATTTGAACAATTAAATTAAATTATACCTTTATTAAAATTCCATACTCAAAGCATATTAAAAAAATTAAAATCACTTATATTTTCAATGTAGTAAAATTCTACTAAAATTAAAACTACCACGTCACCGAGAAAAGTGTACAATAAAAATGAAAATACACAGATAAACACAAATAGTAATACACATAGAAAATACAATTATAATTATCACATTATTTACGCAATATACAAATTTTAGATTTGCTAAATTGACTGAAAAACGTAGTCTAATAACGAACAATTATCTTAAATATTTACATAGAACAGAAGCGCAACTAGTGGGAGCGACTCGCTTAGCTTTTAATAAAAATAATTAATAATTACAAATATTAAAAATTTGTGAGGGGGGTTTATGGGTCCTTTCTCGGGTGTTGCAACGACTTCCATTATTATATCTTAGCGTTGCACTCCCTTTATGAAAGGGTTACTCCAACTCCTTAACCCAACTTCTATAAACACCCTGTAATTACCTGTGGAAACTAAACCGACTAACTACGCCAATGAAACAGAGTGTACTTTTTGTCTTATTTAATATTACTTTAGTATTACAGGTGAGAGAACATGACTGTACCTGCGTACAGTCTCGATGGGGACTATCGGCCTTACGACAAGTAGTTCAATTTTAAAAATTCATCAAAGTTTGAAAAAATGAGTAGTTTTGTTGGCGTTTGTTAAAATTAGACGCTTTACTTACTTGGTATAGCGATAGATTATCTGTTCTTAACCCTTCTTTGCATGGCGATGGAAATTTCAATCATAATATTTAGTCAAGAAAAAAAGTACTAAAAACCCTTGTACCGTAAATTTAATGTTGCTGGCAACATTTGAATCCACTATTGCGTACAACAAAATGCAATTTTTTTAAAAAATAGCAAACGTCACTGTTAATTACCAGGACTAAAACTTGTCATTTGACTGAAAAAAGGAGCGAGTTTTTAGTTTGTTATAAGGAAGTAAACGAAGATATAAAAAACAGTAAAAGTGAAAATGAGTGAGAAAAGGGTTTGTTTTCATGTTTTTGTTGTTTTATGTACAATTTATATCAAAACACTGTGAATAAAGTTCTCCAAATCTATGTGATGGAAAATTACATCAATATGGAGTTCCACTTGTAATGTTTGGCAAAGATTGTTTTGTAAATGTTTTTTTGTGTTGTTTTTTGAAGAAACAGATTATGATTTGTATAAGTTTTTTGGTATATTATTCTATATGTCAATAATCAAAATTCCTAGCACATGATCATACTGGTCGGCAAAGTTTGAACAATAAACATATGGGAGAAGAGGATCTCATGGATAGCTTTTTGGGCAGAAATCATTTAACAAAGAGGTCTAAAAAGTGGAATTTGCATACTTTTTTATCTATTTGATCGAGCTATTATAAACTCTTGGAATGTTTATAAAAAATGCTCAAGAAAGAGCTGAACGTAAAAAGAGTCTGCTTACAATGGGCCAATTCAGTAAATGTGGTATCTATTTGTGCTCAAATAAAAATAATGATTGTTTATAAAGAGTAAAGAAGATTGAGTAAACAATATATTTTATATAGTTCTGAGCTAGATATATGGCAATGCATGTTGATGTAAATTTCCATCATATTGTTTTTTACATAATACATACTTCTATTTACATTAGGATTTTTTAAATATTTTTTCTTTAATCTAGGGCATTAATTACATCACCCTGATTTATTTTTATTAAAATAGAAAATTATTAGGATTTTCAATAATTTGTAATCCACTCGGAATACTATTAATCGCTCATAAATTAATTTATTTAATGATTAAGTCGATTATTAACACATATCGGGAAGTTTATGTAATTTTCCTTAAGGCGAAATACCACTACCAAGTAGTTCTAATTTTTTTAAGGTTTAAAGTTCAGTTACGTAACTTCTCAAAGTGTCTAAATAATAAATATTGTCTAAGTAATAAATAAGTTGTGACTTATTTATTAAATAATATTTAAATAGTTTTTTTTTATTCATAGGTATCTTATATTGCAGGAACCCTAGTAGAAGTAGGTGGGGTAGTTCATTTGTACTAAGGGTTGTGCAACCCTTTGACGACAATACCAATTGTCGTTACAATATTGACATAATATTTGATTTTGCAAATTATATATTCAAACTCTGAATTTAATATTAAAGTGCAATTTTCGCAAATTGTTACATTTTTAACTTCCCGAAGGAGAAGTTTGTTTCCATAAAAAAATCCGATTTGCGAATTTTATGTTTCCTCGACGTTTTAAGCCATTCTGAATCGAATGAGAAAAATTTGGTGTATGTGTATATGTAAACAGATTTTTTACCTTACATCGACGTTTTCTCAAAATCTTAAAAGCCATTCGATGTATCTCGATGAAGATCGTTTATCAGTTGCATGACGGTCGGCCAAGCCCTTTCTTTGATATTTGCAAAGAAGTGAAAAAAAATTCGTTTACGTTTTAGCCCGCAATTCTGAATCGATTTGGAAAATTCAAAAACCGTTCGAAAGATATTGTTTGGGAATCGTGCTGATTAGTTTTTTGAAAGGATTCGCTGGCACAATTTCCTGTAATTAACTGTTGAAAAAAAAAGACTATTTTTATGATTTTTTATTGACGATAGATATCATAGTCTTTTAGATTATATTAAAATATTACGACCCTACGACAAGTCGTTGAATTTTAAAAATTCGTCAAAGTTTGTAAAAGTTGGTCGCTTTTTTCAAAAATAGTTTGTCAAAATTAGAGATTCCATCGACGTTTGCTCTAAAACGCCTGAACTAATTTCAAAATTTTAAAAGCCATTCGATGCATCTCGATGGGGACTATCGCCCTTACGACAAGTAGTTCAATTTTAAAAATTCATCAAAGTTTGAAAAAATGAGTAGTTTTGTTGGCGTTTGTTAAAATTAGACGCTTTACTTACTTGGTATAGCGATAGGATAGATTATCTGTTCTTAACCCTTCTTTGCATGGCGATGGAAATTTCAATCATAATATTTAGTCAAGAAAAAAAGTACTAAAAACCCTTGTACCGTAAATTTAATGTTGCTGGCAACATTTGAAGCCACTATTGCGTACAACAAAATGCAATTTTTTAAAAAAATAGCAAACGTCACTGTTAATTACCAGGACTAAAACTTGTCATTTGACTGAAAAAAGGAGCGAGTTTTTAGTTTGTTATAAGGAAGTAAACGAAGATATAAAAAACAGTAAAAGTGAAAATGAGTGAGAAAAGGGTTTATTTTCATGTTTTTGTTGTTTTATGTACAATTTATATCAAAACACTGTGAATAAAGTTCTCCAAATCTATGTGATGGAAAATTACATCAATATGGAGTTCCACTTGTAATGTATGGCAAAGATTGTTTTGTAAATGTTTTTTTGTGTTGTTTTTTGAAGAAACAGATTATGATTTGTATAAGTTTTTTGGTATATTATTCTATATGTCAATAATCAAAATTCCTAGCACATGATCATACTGGTCGGCAAAGTTCGAACAATAAACATATGGGAGAAGAGGATCTCATGGATAGCTTTTTGGGCAGAAATCATTTAACAAAGAGGTCTAAAAAGTGGAATTTGCATACTTTTTTATCTATTTGATCGAGCTATTATAAACTCTTGGAATGTTTATAAAAAATGCTCAAGAAAGAGCTGAACGTAAAAAGAGTCTGCTTACAATGGGCCAATTCAGTAAATGTAGTATCTATTTGTGCTCAAATAAAAATAATGATTGTTTATAAAGAGTAAAGAAGATTGAGTAAACAATATATTTTATATAGTTCTGAGCTAGATATCTGGCAATGCATGTTGATGTGAATTTCCATCATATTGTTTTTTACATAATACATACTTCTATTTACATTAGGATTTTTTAAATATTTTTTCTTTAATCTAGGGCATTAATTACATCACCCTGATTTATTTTTATTAAAATAGAAAATTATTAGGATTTTCAATAATTTGTAATCCACTCGGAATACTATTAATCGCTCATAAATTAATTTATTTAATGATTAAGTCGATTATTAACACATATCGGGAAGTTTATGTAATTTTCCTTAAGGCGAAATATCACTACCAAGTAGTTCTAATTTTTTTAAGGTTTAAAGTTCAGTTACGTAACTTCTCAAAGTGTCTAAATAATAAATATTGTCTAAGTAATAAATAAGTTGTGACTTATTTATTAAATAATATTTAAATAGTTTTTTTTTTATTCATAGGTATCTAGTAATGGATCACCAAGTCGTCGTAATAGTCAAATGTCATCTTCTCGTGCAAATAATTCTCAACCTCGTATTACAGTTAGAGGAGTGGAGCCCAAACTTGTACAGGTCATTTTGGATGAGATTGTTGAAGGTGGAGCACGTGTTGAATGGGCTGACATTGCTGGACAAGAGGTAATGGAAAGAATTATTTGATCAGCTATAAGTAGTTGAAACTTTGGAACTAGTTTTTTCTGATGTATATTTTGACATGTCTAGAAAAAATTAATATATCCATTGTGTAAAAAATGTTTTTGGAATTTCTAAATAAAACGTAGTTTCTTAAACTTCTTCTATGTTTATTTTGTCTCCTTCAAAATTTGCAGGACACATATATAACGCCTCTTCCAATCTCATAAATATCGTATTACGTGACAGATTTGTTTATTATAAACTTATCTACAATTTTCAACTTCTGTATTACGTGACAGCTTTTTTTATTATAAACTTATCTACAATTTTCAACTTCTCGTAGGGTAAGTTATTGTAATCGTCCAAAAATCAAAAGTGAAAATTTTTGCATACCTTGCTTTTTGAAATATTCAAATCGCTTCACGTTCTAGAGGTTTCTGAACAAATTGATGTATGTGTGTATGTATGTGATGAGAAGAAGAGGTGATGAGTTTTTGGCAAATACAGGCCCAGCCGTAACAGTGATAATAAACTAAAAGTGTAAAAAATGAGAGCTTTTTGAGAGAATAAAGCAACCGATTCGAATGATTCAAAAAACATTTTGCTTGTGAAGAAATAATTAGTTTTTCGGAAAATATTTTTTTTGAATACCAAAAATGATTCGAATTTTAATTTTAATTTTAAAATTCACTTATATACTTCAAGTGAATAATTTTAACTAATTAAGTTTATGTAATTCTTAGATATGAGATAATATCCTCCATTCGAAATCCGCTTGATCAATTTTTGCTTATTTACTTTCTATGTAAAATACGAAAGTCATTGTCCAATTTGTAAGCACTTATATTTCGTCTATAAATTATGAATAATGAAAGTTACAGCATTTATAATAATCTATTAATATACCTAGAATATTTCATTACGGTACGTAAAGTTCCAAAAATTTGCCAGTCAGCAAGTTAACAATATCGAACCAGGAAAAACACAAAAGTAAACATATTGTTTTATGAAAACATTAAACAAATCTTTTGTAAAAAAAATAAAATTACATATAATAACAAATAATAAAGTTATGTAGGTTGTCTCATAATTACCAAATTCAAAATGAGAATCGTAGTCGTAAAATAAGCCTTATAAAGAATGCGCGGGGAATACACTGAATTCTGGCAAAACTTGACGATTTGATTAATAATAATTTTTTTTATACTTTGTAGACTATACATGTTAAGTCATATATAATTTATGTAGTGTCAGTTTTAAAGCCATGTCTTTAACCCTCCGTCGGTCGGCGTGGTCTGGCCAGACTTTTTTCGACTTCAATTAGAAAAAAAAAATACTTCTAGTAATCCTATCGACTTGAAATTTCTTGACTTTTCCTAAAATTTCATTAGCTGTCGATCAATGAAAAAATCAGGACGAAAAAATGTACAGAAGGATAATTATAAGGATTTAATTTTTTTTATACTTCGAACGGTCGGAAAGGTCTGTCTAGACCACCCATACATTTTGTATGAAATATACGCTTTTTCATGGTATTTTCTATTCAAACTGCGTTGTTTATATTCTTGCTATGTGTTCTAACATGAATGTTAGTATTTTCATGACGAGAGTTTCTTGAAAACCTACCAAACTTATTGGTAATCGCAAACACTGAAAATCGGATGAGTAATGCACACATTCATTCAGGCGCCAAAAAAAAATAAATACTGTTTTTCATTGATTTAAAACAGAAAAATTAACGAAAAAAGCAACGTTTTTTTTATATTTCTTGATTTTTTTATATAATCGTTAATACATAAGACACCAAAAACTCATTTATTCCATATAAATGCATGTAAAATGAATGGTGGTCCAGCCAGACCTTTCCGACCGTTCGAAGGTGAAAAAATATCCGGCCGACGGAGGGTTAAAAACCAATAGTATTGTTTGTATTTATTGGAATCCTTTAGTAAATAACTCGTTCCAGAATTGTACAAAATATTTAGATATTTATATATGAAAATTATGCATAAGCAATGAATGGTTGTTTTTAAACTTATTCAATCCTGGTTAACTAATAATTTCTTATTCTAATAAATTGCATTTAAAAACTTTAGTGTCAATAAACTTGAACTGTCAATAATTTCAGTCAAAAACTGCTATTATTCTCTCTAATATTTCTGTTGAAATGAAATTAGACCACTTTTGATATTTTTAATATATTTTGTTTTATTTTTTAAACATTGTGTTTGTGTTATTGCTATGTTTTATTTACATGTATGATTTTTGCTATGTGTTACTAATTTTTTTGCTTCAATTAAATTCTAGGTTGCAAAACAAGCTTTGCAAGAAATGGTTATCTTACCGTCTCTACGGCCTGAATTATTTACTGGTCTACGATCACCAGCCACCGGTTTATTGTTATTTGGACCTCCTGGAAATGGTTTGTTTATATATATATATATATATATATATATATATATATATATATATATAGGGTGGTCCTTAAAGTGGTCATTTTCGAATTTCCTTGCTCCCAGGGGCTCAAATGGTTCCAAATAGATAAAAAACAATTCTCTGAAAGTTTTAGCTCTTAATATTAACGTTTAGATAGAGCGCAATTCAATCAAAGTTTTGTATGGAAATAGCATGAAAAAATTTTCAAAAAGTTTAAAAATGTTTTTTAGATGTAATTTAGCGAACAAATGAATGAATAAAACTCATTCGTTTGTCGCTAAGTTACGCCTAAAACACGTTTTTTTAATTTTCAAATTTCTTTCCATGCTCTTTCCATACAAACTTTGATTGAATTGCGCTCTATCTAAACGTTAATATTAAGAGCTAAAACTTTCAGAGAATTGTTTTTTATCGATTTGGAACCATTTGAGCCCCTGGGAGCAAGGAAATTCGAAAATGACCATTTTAAGGACCACCCTAATATATATATATATTAATTGTTTAATATGAACAAAACAGCACTCAGATTTGTTTAACACAACTTTATTTTATGATTACAGACGTTTCGAGACCATGGTGTGTCTCATCTTCAGTGTAATTTCAAAAACAGTTACTTATATACTACACATTCTTTAATAATTTATTTAAATTTCATTTAATTTTTGGTATACAAAATTTTGCAAGGAATAGTTGGTGTTTTTTGTATACCAAAAATTAAATGAAATTTAAATAAATTATTAAAGAATGTATAGTATATAAGTAACTGTTTTTGAAATTACACTGAAGATGAGACACACCATGGTCTCGAAACGTCTGTAATCATAAAATAAAGTTGTGTTAAACAAATCTGAGTGCTGTTTTGTTCATATTAAACAATTAATATTCGTTCCACTCATATCATAAAATTCTATATTATATATATATATATATATATATATATATATATATATATATATATGAGTAAGTTCTTATGGGGCGATACATCAAAGAATAAAAAGTAAAGATTTATAAATTAATCTTTAATTCCAAACGTTTCTACATTCAATTTAATGTCGTCATCAGTGGATCTAAAAACAGTATAAAAAATTAGTATAACTAGGTAATTATAATATATGTGGATTGGTATACAAACTATAAATATAAGAGAAAAATTAACAAAACAGCAACACTTAACAACAAACAAAATATAATATGTAAAAATATAAAACAAACAAATAGCAAACAAACTGTTGATTAACATAGTTTTAAAAAACATCGTCTTTGACAGAATAAACCTGATGATGGAACGTATCTTGTTCCGAAATGTCGTTATTAAACATCTTCAAAAAACAAATTGTTTTTTATTATTGGATTTACTGTTTCGGTTAGTGATATGGATATATAAATTATTACAGGTAAATAATTTTTCCTTCTCAATTTTATATAAAACCTTTTTTAGTTAATTCTTATTACTCTTTACCCCGGTACATAATCCATTCCTTTATAAAAATTTTTTCTAATTAATCTGTATTGACCATCATTAATTAATGTTAATCAATATTTTTAAAAAACATTGTATTTGACAGAATAAACCTGATGATGGAACGTACCAAGTTCCGAAACGTCGTTATTAAACATCTTCAAAAAACAAATTGTTTTTTATTATTGGATTTAATGTTCGGAAAAGAAACAATCAATATATTGAAAAAATCCAGGACTTATTTATTGAATATATATATATATATATATATATATATATATATATATATCTTGATGTTTTAGTAAAGTGGGTTTTTCCTGATCTGCTGAATGATGAGACACATCTAGTCTCGAAACGTATAAAAAATAAATTAAATTGTTTACATTCGACGCATTGGCTGTTTTATTCATTTCAATATATATATATATATTGATGAGTTATTTAGAATCGGGCAGTAACACCAAGTGAAAAAAAAACTAAAGTAGTTTTGAAATACTTTATATATCCATACGTTTCGGTCTTCATCGAGATTGGTCATTGGTCATTCAGTGGAAAAACTAAAAGATTTTATATGATGTAGGAGGGAAATAATATAAAGTTATAAAACTTATATATAAATACTTACAGAAATTAATTATACAAAAATACATTACACTAATACACTGTGATAAACCAAGCTATTAATAATTGGAACATTTAAACTAATTTTTTTTTGACAATTTTTTGGTTACATTCTAGTGTGTACAGATTTGGTATACCGAAACGTATGGATAAATAAAGTATTTCAAAACTACTTTAGTTTTTTTTACTTGGTGTTACTGCCCGATTCTAAATAACTCATGAAAATATATATCAACACCAAACTCATATACTTCAATATATATATATATATATATATATATATATATATATATATATATCTTGATAGTTTTTTCGACGTTGAAACATATTTCAAAGTAACTAGCGGCCCATTCGTCGAAATAAAAAAGGTATAAAGTATTAAAAACTTTTATTTATACGTTTTGACACCAGATGCGTGTCATCATTCAGCAACTACAATAAATTTGAAAATTTTTACTAATAATAAAAACCAATATAAAATAATTATAAACATAGAGAAACATTATACATACCACCAGGACAAAAACACTCAAAAAACTTGTAACATATTAGAAAAGGACATTTTTTGGAAAAATAATGAATAACTAAAAAATTAAAAACATTTTAAAAAAAAGTTTTGAAATGTAACATTATGACGTATGAAACACGCCCATATCAAGCAAAAGACTCGACTGTAATATTTGAACTAGGCGTGTTAATGGCGTAGGAAGGGGAATGTATCGAAGGACAAATGCAAACAAGTGATTGAAATGGATTTAGAGTCAAAAAGGAAAATTCAAAACATATAAAAGTTTGAACAGAAAAAAACAAAATTGTAAAAAATATTATAAAGGAGATGGAAAATTAATTTTTAGTTTTTTTTTGATAAAATCAATAATTAGCTGGTAACTATCATGTAAAAGGTGGGATAACATGCGTTTATTAACACAAGAGGAATTTAATGAAATAAGAAAGGATTCTGCAAATTTTCTAAGGTCACTATTTTTTTGATATAAAGAATAACAGGATGTGAAGTGTTAAAAGTGTGATTGAGATTGAGCATATGATATGAAAACATCGTTTTAAACTGGTTTGGATTTTTTGAATTATAAATATGTTGATTAACTCTCTTATAAATATACTGGGAACTTTACCCAATATAACACATATTGCAATCATTGCAATCCAACCTGTAAACAGAATCGGTGACCCTATCAGACAGGGTTCTAGACTTGAGAACCGAAAAAAGGCAATTAAAAGTATTATCGAAACTAAAAACTAAACGAAATTCTTCTGAATTAACGAAAACGAAATTCTTCTGATTTAAAAAATAAGAAAAATTGCTTAAAAAAGGTAAACAAATAATTCCTTTGTATTGGCTGCTAGTTACTTGTAAATATATATATATATATATATATATATATATATATATATATATATGATATTCAGTTTTCAGGGCAATACATCAATTAAAAAATTTGTATGACTTTAAAACATTTTTATTTTTTCCATACGTTTCGACACATAGTTTTGTGTCATCTTCAGTGGACTCTATTTTGAAGGTACAGATAAAAATTATTAATTAAAACTAATATATAAGAAGTGATATGGTATGAACTTACATGTAATTGTAATAATCCTAATTATTTCCTAATTATAATTGTTCACAATGCACAATGAAACCAATTCTTGTCACTTCAAATTTAACAATAATAAATTTTTTGAATGAGTTATTTTATGAATTTGTAAAATACATCCCGCTATTCTGTATTCCGATGCAAGAGTGAAGCCTAAATGTGCACAAATGTGCACACCACGTGTTAGAAGCTAGGTACCGAGCACACGAACTAGGGTTTGTCGGTTTTCAAAAACCGGTTTTTTGGCGAAAATTATGGAATTAGAAAACCGGTTTTTTAGTGAAAAAAGTCGGTTTTCACTGTATAAATGAAAAATGACAAATTAGCCAAATATAAAAGATACATGAAAGCGTTTTGTTTCTTGAAATCATATCTTTTAAATAGCATTTGATATCTTATCAGTCTGCAATGGTTCCCAGAAATGTTTTGTATATAATAATTTAGATTTTTATACCAGTGTATATATTAATTTAAATCAGTGTGACTTCTTCTTGAAGAAGTAACTTCCTCTCCTCAAACTTAAAAAAAGAGTTTTAAACCATAGAAGGCACAAATTAAAGAACAAAAAACTTAGAATTATTATATTAGGCTTTAAAAACAATTAAGCATAATTTGGTCTCGAGTATTTTCTATTTCAGGAAATTTTGTGAGTAAACAAAGGACACGTAAATCATATTTTATTAAACAAAAAACAATTAGAATGTTTAAAATTATTTAATTAAAATTGCTCGGAACAGAAATAAAAGTTTAGCTTAATTCTTTTTAAAATTAAAATTTATATTAAAAAATATGTATGAACATGTATCTAATATATTTTTATTTTTATTTATTTAATGATTTTTTTTTATGTAAAAATGTATTATTTTTATTTATTCGAAAACTTTCCTTTCTCTATCATAAAAATATTTTCATTCTTATATGTGAAAATGATGCATGAATGACGAATAATTATTTTCAAAGTTATTTAATCAAGATAAACTATTATTTTTTAGTTCTACTAATTAAAATTAAAATAATTTTGTTTACTATCTATAAAATTGAACAATAAATAAATTCAGTCAAATACTATACTAAATTACACTAAATTTGCGGATAAATTACAGAATATTCGAGCAAAAATTTATTTTTCATATAAAATTCGAAAACCGGTTAAAACCGGTTTTTTGGTAAAATTGAAACTCGAAAACCGGTTTTCTGAAATGTCGGTTTTTGTATAAACCCTAACACGAACTGACCAGAGAATTTAAGGTTTGACAACGCGAGAGGGTACATAAAGTAAAATATAAAAAG